TATCATGTGGAACACTGGACAATGACTTGCTGAAAGTGTGTAATGTGAAGTGAAGCCTGCGCCTGTGGCCTGTACACTTCACACAAAAACACAAAATTAAAATACTTCTTTTATTAAGATATAATAATAAATATTATTTAAGCAAAAATATTTTTGACCTTATGATCTAAAAGATTGTATAAAAGGAAAGATAGATTAGGGCGGGTCACAATATTGTTAACATGCATAAACATATTTAACATAAATAATACATATATGGTTGTTTGGCTATTTCGTTATGTAGTAGTTGGTTAATATTATTGTTTTAATCTTTTGAAAATCCATTGAAATGAAGGTCTTAATAAAATACAAATGTCTGTTTTATTACAATGAAAAAGTCCAATCAATCAAGTCCATCTCATGCAGAATGTTGTCCTTTATTACAAAAAAATTTATACAGAAATAACTGCTTTTAATGAAAATACATATTGAACAAATGCAAGACAGTGGTAAATGTAACAATTTCCCGTAATTGAATTACATTAAAAAATATAAAGTAGTCAATATGTTAGATAGATTTTAAATCTTCAGGTAAATCATTCTTAGGATGTTTGTTTTCAAAATGCTGTTTATAAGTTTTGGGATCCGGCATCTGCGCCTGCAATTCAATACATTACAAATTACAATTAGTTTTGTGCACAGGTTGTTTAACTGCTAGCAGTGGGCCTGTCTCATTTACATAGTTGAAGCACTCAAGGAATCAGAAATATTCAATATTGCATAAGGCCATGGCTGCATGGTTTATTTGTCAAGTATATAAATGCTTTAAAGTTACCTTACAAATTACACAAACATGCACAAGGGCCTTTTGTGCTGCTTTTTTCTGATCGGTAGCACTGTGTCCTTGTTGTTTTTTCATTTTTGACAACTTTTCGGCAGCCTTGGCTTGAGACTGGATTTTTTGCTGTCCACGAGCCATTCTGCAAATAAAATATGTGTGTAACCAAAATTATGATTTGCTGCTCACACAATTGTAACACCTGTATAAACATAAACTCATAGCCTTTGCATCACCACAGACACGTGGAGTTTATCTGTGTGTTTTCTAATAAAGTAGGAATGTATTGATCGCAAGTGTATATGTTCCAATGTTCCCAGTCAAGACAATGCAAAGTTAAGTACGTGATGCAACAAAAAAATAGTCATGGGTAGGACATTACTTTATAATCGCCTACGGCTTATCACATGTTATCTTATATTATTATCGTAATTAATTAAGTCTGTATATTGTTTTGCACACCTTTTTTCCTTTAGGAATTCGACTTTCACAAAACGTATTAACTTCTTGATGAGACAATGGTTCTAATGTACTTTCAATACTTTAACACAATAATTTCAGTAAATATTTTTCCTTTCAGTCGGAAAGAAAAAAAGTTAGTTTTGAATACCTAAATAATTTAAATCACATATTATAATCCCCTAGGTGCATTCCAATCAGTCCGTAAACATGACAGTTGGCAGTTGTCAGCACAGCATTAGAATTGACTTGACACAGTGTTGCCAATGAAATTGTTTACCCGGTTGTGTACATCAAGACCTCCGTGAAGTTAGCCAACTCACTTTCTCATTTTTCACTTTTTTTTTAAACAAATCGTTAGAGAGGGTTCGATAAAAAAACAATTTTCGTTTGAGAGTTCCTACTTTCTCCGTAAAAGCAATTTCAATTTTTTATTTAACAGAATAACGCGACAGAATTTCAAAAACTTTTCACAGAAAAAGTAAGAACTCTTAAACGATATTACTTTCTTCTCAATTTCTCTCTAACGATTCTCTAGCGATTTGCAAAAAATGTTAAAAAAATGAAGTGTGGAGGCCAACTTCACGCTAAAAATTGAGTTTGATTCTTTGACATTGAAGTTTTGTATGGATAACCTTTATTCTTGTTATTTTATGAAATGCAAATCATATTGTTTTAAGTGATATTTAGCTATTCTTCTATCGATGAAGTCATTGTTACGCCGCGTGCAATCGATTCGCACGGTCACATTAAATGTACATACGAGATCGCAGTCTACTACTAATGAGGGAAGTCCACTTAAAAAGCTTGTGGACGATGCCAGTACATTTGGAGAAGTTTCCAATCCGGAGCCAGAGCTGCGTTGGGCAACTGAGCCCTATGCGAGGCTTGCCGGCCAGGAGGAGGACACGCGCGTGGACCCGCGCGAGACCACCGTGTTACTCTTTCCAGGACAGGGCTCGCAGTTCGTCGGGATGGGGAAAAAGTTACTCGACTTGCCGGCAGCCCGCGATCTTTACGAGCTTGCTTCTAGTATAGTCGGGTTGGTCAAATAGAAACTTTTTTATGACAATATTTATTTTGTAAATACACTGTGACCTAAACTCCGTATAATATCATAGTTGTAAGTACTCTAATTAGTCAGGTAAAAACCTTATTAGATAAAAGACATACCTAGACTACTTTGTTGAAATATTTCTTACCTGTTAAAGTTTACATTATTTTAAAGTACTAGCTGTTGCCCATGATTTCATCCTCATGGAGTTTAAAAGTATGAAACCTACTTTCGCCCCTTTTTTCAACCTATAATCACCTAAAATGTTATCTTAATAGTAATCTACGTAATTCGAATGTAATAACAGAAATCTACTGATGCTAGATTCCTTTCTAAGCCCAGTAGATTGTCAGCTGATTTTTTCGGTTACCCTTAGTGTAGAGAACAATTTTATTCTACATTAAATTCTCCTGACTACAAATACATTTATTTAGATAAGTATTAATATTGAAACCAATAAAACAATGACATACATAGCAAGCGGTTTTTAATTCATTTTGTAAACAAAAAAGTGGTTATTGTAAGAAAACTGTTAAAGATAGCCATCATGGACTTTCCTGTAGAACTTGTTGAGATCTCTAATTCCTTCATGTATCATTTTTATATATTATACCTTTAATGGTTTAGGCAGCATAACCAAAAATGTTTAAATTTAGTAATTTTTTACGACAGGGTCCAGAAATATGCAATTTATAAATGGTTCCTAAAATTAGTAATAATATAATAGCCTGTGCTACTCACAGATAAATTACTTTTGTAATGGTGATGGAATTTTTAAATTCAGCCAGTAGTTTTTACATGAATTGAATACAAATATACAAATCTTTCCACTTTATAGTATTAGTATAGATGACAAATTGTTAACAGAAATAAATTGATAGAAAATGATATATATTTCTATTGTGTAACTGTTGACAAAATAATGAGTTTACATTCATTTACAAGTCTTATAAATACTAGCTGTAAAAAAAGGATAGGTATTGGTGTTGTTGATAAGTATTGCAGTGAGTGTGTGCGCGTGCAGGTGGGACGTGCTGCGCGTGTGCACGCAGGGTCCCGAGGAGGAGCTGCAGCGGC